GTGTAGGGAGACGTATAATGCTCCTTTATATATATATATATATTAAAACTAACGACAGATTTTATTGAAATATAAAAGGATACATAAAGGTTGTATGAGAAGAGCCCAAAGAAGCACCCTGCCCATATGATACATGTACATAAAAACTCCAACAAAAGGTACTGATAGACTCAAATAAAATTAAAAACAAATTTAAAACATGCAGAAAACAGTAGCTAGGGACGAGTCAGTTTAGTTCTGTCTCTTTAGTTTTAGAAGCGGAACCAGATAACAAACTTAGAAGAGTCGTGCCATTGCCAGGAGTCACCAAAGTATCATCCATTAAGTTTCCAAGTTGGAGTGAGCCCCCAGACTTCTTCTTCCGCAGAGAAGTGTAAACCTATCATTCTTCATCTGAAGACTGACTCATATAATCCTCGATCTGATTTGATGTTAGAATTGCAGTAGGAGAAAAGACAGTCGTTGCCACCGCGATACGTTCCAGTGTATGTGAAGTATGAATTGTTACCTCTGCATCTGATGCTTCCAGAATAGGAGTTGCGGGACTATCCATATTTTCAGTTTGAATATTATCCATTGTAGTATGGTCAGGAGAAAGGATCCCAGGGGCAGACACCAACTCCTGTCTTTTGGTGTTTCCCTCCTCAGGTTGGCTGTCATCATGTTTGCTAAGAGCGCGTTCAGACACATGGGGTGCACTAACAGTGTGTTCCTGCTTTTGACTTCTGGTTCTCAACTGTCGGTGAAATTTGAAACATTTCTCCTGCGAGTGTCCAAACATCTTGCAGTGCTTGCAGTAGTATGATTTTTGTTCCATAATAATTTTTTGTCAATAACTATTGTGAGCAAATCCAAACCATACTTCTTCTACATCTGGTAGTGTAATATCTCGTTCAATCAAAATCCTTGCAATAGAGGGTCTTGAGAAATGAACTGTAGGTAAATCTACCTGCAAAATTTTTTCAAGGATAGTCCCAATTGCATATAAGATATGTAGATCAAAGAAATGAAGCTTGAGTTCAGGTAATGAGAACCAGGTTCTTGACTGGGATCAAAATTGAGAGTCCATTTGAGCAATTTCATATATTTGCCCTCAATTGTAATGAATTTCTTTGAGAAAATCGTGTAATCATCTTCTGTGCTCAGCTGTATCATAACATGTCTTCCGTCGAAATGACCCACCTGCCAATCCCCAATTAGTTTGTAGTCTTCGACAACCTTCCAGCTTATCTCCATCTTAGGACAACCTAATTGGAACTTTCCAACCAGTGTAAATTTATATTTTGCAGCACGAGTTGAAATTTCAGCATTAGAAAATAAAATTGCTGGTTTACCAGTCTTTTTCTTTACTTTTTTGATGAGATTGCAATCACTATTTCCTGCAACAGAATCATGATAAACCTGCGGAAATACCGCACTATCTCCGAGGTGAAAAGGGGAGATGCGTTTGTGAACCACTGTAGCATAGGAGAGTTTGACGGGGTTATCACTGGCTAAAGCGGCGGCGTAGGAAAGCCCTGAGGCCATTACCGCAGCCAGTGCAAACCTGCAGCACAGTGAGAAGCTTCACAAGTGTCAAGCGGCTCTGTCACGCATGTGGCATTGTCGAGCAGAAGAAGCTCTGTCTGTCGCAGACGAAGAAGTTCTGTCTTTCGTAGACGAGACGCAGCAGACGAGCGGCTCTGTCGCAGGAGACATGGCTCGACGGCTCTGTAGCAGATGAGACGCAGCGGGAGCGACTTTGTCGCAGACGAAGAAGCTGTCGAGCGGCTGTCGCAAACTAGACGTGGAGTCGACCGCAAGTACTGCCGCCAGACGAAATGGAAGCAGATGCTGAAGCCCAAAGACGCTAGGGTTCGCCATGTGGCGGAACCTTAGCAGAGCGGAAAGACCCCACCCTAAGCCCCATATGTTTGTTGTATATATATATATATATATTATTTTATTTTTTTTAGAAAGTCCAAAAAGGCTATTATATTAACTAGAAAGAAAGATACATATACAATGTGTTGAAGGACCCAAACATGACACCCAATTCACACCAAAATCACATCACACCAAAACCACAAGTGGTTCCAAAACTAGAAAATACAGAATAGTACAGTAGAAACATAAAGAAAAAGCCTAAAAATGCTGAAATACAAAGTATCAGGTGGCTAGAGAGCAACCCAATTTGGTTTTGCCTCTGCCCCTGGTTCTAGGGAAGGAGCAAACTAATAAGTTGGTAAGTTGATTGCCATTGCCAGTAGTAACCAATGTATCATCCAATATGTTCCCTAGCTGGAGTCGGCCTCTATTCTTCTTCTTCCTCCTGGAATAGATCTGTCATTCCTCTTCCGAAGATTGGCTCACCTGATTTTGGTCTAACGTGTGCTGGAGATGTGCAGATTGTTGAACATTAGAAGCAACATGTTGTACCGGCTGGTATGCTATTGGATCAAATGAGCACTCTCGTGTGTCTTGGCATGTGAGAGAGTCTTCTTCAATAACAATGGATGGTATAAGCACAATTGAATCTATAGCTGTAGTATGCTGTTCTTCTTTAGGAACTATGGTGTTGGGAAGAGGATCGGGTTGCATCTTCTCAACTGGGATAATAGGTGACTGTTCTTTAGTGATATTTGACCTTAGATGAGGATGCAAACGATAGCAAATAGTAGAGTTGTGGCCAAACATACTACAATAAAAGCAATAAGGAGGGTGTGGTTCGATTTCAATCTTTTGCCAATACCCGTTGTGAGTGGTTCCAATCCACATCTCATCCGGAGCTGGTTGAGTGATATCCCTCTCAACTAACACACAAGCCACAGAAAGTCTGGTGACAACAAGCGTTGGACTAGCAACACTGAGAGACTTACCGTAAACAGTTGCTAAGGAGTAGAGAATTTCCAAATTGAACATATGTAATTTTAACCCCGGAAATTATATCCAAACTGGAATGATAGGGAACTCCACTTTTAGGTCGAAATCAACAGTTCACTTCAGAATTTTCATATAACAGTTGTCGATCTTGATAACTTTCTGATAAAAGATGCGAGTATAATCAACATCATGAGACAACTGAATTAGTATGTGCCGACCGTCAAGTAAACCAATATTCCAACTTCCCAATAGCTTCATAGCCTCAAACTCTTTCCAAATGATCTCTATTTTTTGGGTTACCATAAATAAATTTCCCCACTAGAGCAAAACGCCAAGAAGACGCGAGAGTACTGGTTTTAACATTTGTGAGATTAAGAGCATGCTTCCCATTTTTTTCCCCCAATTTTTTTTATGAAGGTGTGATCGCCACCACCTTCAAGAGCATCATAAAAAGATTGAAAAACATTGCGAGATTTACCTATACAAAAATCAATCTCTGGTTCTGAAAGAGGAGCACGAGTAGGAATCGAGAGGTCGCCGGCAAGTGCAGTAGCATAAGAACGGATAGCCATCTCTGCCGACAAGATTCTGTCGGACAGGGAGCGGGGAGACGTCGAATTGTTTATATTCACATTAATATATTTATATTTGTATGGTTATGCTGACATATAGGTGGCAGCATATAATTTTAAATTTTATAATGTAACTTTCATGTAGACTTTATATTTCTGAATAGCTAATATTCAGCTTGATAATATAATGAGCTACACGCAAATAGTGCCCTCTTATTGCTCTTGAAAGATTTCTTATTTTGTCCTAGTTCTTTTTATTTTTATTATTGAGTGGGGTCAATATTGTTTTTTGATACACCTCATACTTTAGAGTTGTAGATTCCTTTATAAAAACCTCGTCATCATTGTGAAATTTACAATGACAGTAATTGGTCGTAGTCACAATTGGGTGAATTTCTATATAATTTTTGGTGTGTTTTGTGCATTTTTGTTCCTTTAA